CAGCACCAGATCTCTTTTTAGGACCACAAGCAGATATAGCCACACAACCAGCTCAGTTTAAAACCAACTGAACCTCAAGTTCCTCCGGAAAAAAAAAAAAAGATTCATAGCTTTAGGACTGAACATTCACTTTGCCTAACATTTTACTTTGAGGTTTTTAACATGGCTCTACTTTATAAGGTCAGGAAGATAATGGTATTTGCATCCAAGCCTGATAATCTGAGTTCAATCTTCAGGACCCATATAGTGGAAGCCAAGAACAGACTCCCACAAGTTGCCCTTTGACCTACACACACACACACACACACACACACACGCGCGCGCGCGCTGTGGCACATGCCCTCTCACACAATATAAATAATGTTAAAAAAAAAAGATAGTTCTACCTTAATGATGACAAGGTCTACAACTACAGCTCCTTTACTGAGATGACAAACTGAGTAACATGAACCACATGTAAACAAAAAGGTCTGTATTTTTTTACCTGGAAGTCATTTAAACTCATGGGGACACACACACACACAGTATATTATCATGGAAATGGGAGCTGGAGAGATGGCTCAGTGGTTAAGACCAATGGCTGCTCTTGCAGAGGACCTGTGTTAGGTTCCCAGCATCCACCCAGTGGCTAACAGCCATCTGTAACTCCAGCTCTAGGAGATCCCATGCCCTCCACCAGCACTGCATTCACAGGTGCACTTACATACATGTAGGCAAAACACATAAAATGTTTTAAAGAGCCGGACGTGATGGCGCACACCTTTAATCCCAGCACTCTGGAGGCAGAGGCAGGCGGATCTCTGTGAGTTCAAGGCCAGCCTGGTCTACATAGTGAGTTCCAGGACAGCTGAGAGTCTTTTTTTTTTTTTTTGGTCTTTTTTGAGACGGGGTCTCCCTTGTCCTGGAACTCACTATGTAGACCAGGCTGGACTTGAACTCACAGAGATCTGCCTGCCTCTGCCTCCCGAGTGCTGGGATTAAAGGCGTGCACCACCACACCTGGCCTTTTTACAATTTTTAAAAGTTATTTATTTATATTTGCATGTGGCAGCCAGAACACAACTCAGGGGAATTGATTCTCTTTCCACTCTTTGGGTCCCATGGACTGAACTCAAGTTGCCAAGCTTGGTAGGAAGCACCTTTACCCACTGAGCCATTTCAGCAGCTCTACCTTTATTTTCTTAAATATAATAATGCAACAGTCATCTAAACTAGAAAACTAAAAATTACGATACTGACTTTTCATTCCCAGAAACATCTCCAAATCCTTTTCATGTAGGGGTATTTTATCCTGGACACTATTTAAAACTTAAAAATAGATACCAAATATTGCTAAAAACTTCAAGTGAAGTGTGGTGGCATATACCTGTAATACAGGCATTCAAGATGCTAAGGCAACAAAACTGTCCCAAGTAGGAGGCCAGCCTGGACTACATAGGAATACTAAGTCAGCCAAGGTTACATAGTAAGACACTGCCCACCCCCACCCAACAAACATAAATAGACAGGCATGGTGATGCACCCCTGTAATCTCAGCACTTGAAAAGTGGAAGATTAACAGGAGCTCAAGGTCAGTCTTAGTCCCACAGCCAATCCAAGGTCAGCCTGGGCTATATGAGACCCCGCCTCATAAAGAAGAAAGAGGGCCAGTGAGATGGTGCTTGCTGCCAAGCCCGATGACCTGAATACCACTGCTATCATAGTGTAAAAAACCAACTCCCATTAAGTTGTCCTGGACGCGCGCACGCGCACACACACACACACACACACACACGTTAAAAAAAATTCAACTTCATTAACAGTTTTATAAATATAGGACTGAAGAATTTTTTTAAAAATCTTTTACTATTTTTATTTTATGTGTATGAGTGTACTGCCTGCATGTATATGATTGCACCTGTGTTGTGCAATGCCGCGGAGGTCAGAAGAGGGCTTCAGATTCCCCTGGAACTGGAGTTAAGGACAGTTCGTAGCCGCCATGCGGGTGCTGGGAATCGAACCCAGGTCCTCTGCAAGAGCAGTCAGTGCTCTTAACCACTGAGCCATCTCTCCAGCCCCAGGACTGAAGATTTTAAAAAAACTGATGTCCAAATTAAGTGAGATTCTAAATTAAGTGAGATTCTGCTACACACCAGAAACAAACACACTGTACTCTCCCTCACCAAATTAACAAACTCCTGATCAATGGGGGGGGATGGGGGATCACCATTCAGTATAAATAGTATACAGGTTAGGGGTCCATCAGACAAATCATAATGAATGATTCCCAGTGTACTCATTCATCATCATACCAGCCTTTCTACTTCCTATTAAAAATAAAAATGTAAAAATATATAAATTACAAGCACTCATTAAGGCTTTACTTATCACATGAATTTTAAATCCTTTAAGAAATGTCTACTCTTATGAATGACTTATGCTCTTTTTATAGTAGTATCTCACACAAAAGTCCTTTGCAAGAGGCAACACAAGAGAAATGGTCTATTAAAAAGCTTTTAACCAGAAATAACCATATTCATCTTTGATGTTTACTAATTGAAAAAAATAACGGTTTGCCTGGTGTGGTGGCTCATGCCTTTAATTCCAGCACTTGGGAGGCAGAGGCAGGCAATCTCTGTGACTTCAAGGCCAGCCTGGTCTACATATAGAATTCTAGGCCAGCTGGGGCTACAGGAAGACCCAAAATAAATAAATAAATAAATAAATAAATAAATAAATAAATAAAACTACAATAAAAAATAACTGTTTTATTAAAAACTACAGTTAAAGAAAATATAGTATTCTTACTAGGTTGTTGGGGTTTTTGCAGTATACCAATATATTGCCAAATATTTCTGGCATTCATTAATTTACACTTACTTGACTAGAATAATTAAAAACATTAACCATGGCATATCTGTGTGTATGTGTTTTCCATATAACCTACACAACAAATATATAGACAGTAAGTATGTATTTTAGAGCAAGGATGCTGCTATTATGCCCTTCTTGGGGGAAAAAAAGATGGAAAATCTGTGATTTTAAGATTTACTATGAAAAAATGCCTTTGTTGCAACTACAAATAGTATCAAATAACCTTATAAACCATTAGGAAAGAAAAATGCTATGAAAGGCCAACTGAGCATTTCACATCTACTGCTCCTGATCCCTAACTCCACCCAGTCTTCCCGGCTCAATGGCTGTTCACAGCATCCACAAATATTAGCCCATTTTTAAGGGGGAGGTGGGAGGATGTACCGAAACAGGGCTTGCTCCACCAACACAAATATATGCAGAAATATTTTACGAAAAACTGGGTTCTTTTCTCTGGTTTTAAAAGATATATACCAGCTTTAAATTTGTTGTAAAAAATCCTTCCCTCTGAAATCCAAACAATGATCTTTTATTAGGAATATGAAAGAATAAATCACCCTATACATATTCTGCTTTAATAAAAACTGCAATTTGCAAATGCCAATTATTTTGCGAAATTATGTCTTGAAAGCCATTGGAGATTAAGAGCTAGCTAACGCCTTAAAACCAAACCAGAATTTTTTAAGTTAAAGCTTTTAATGTATATTCAACATATCACCACTGGCATACCCAGTAAAAAATATTTCTGATTAAGGGACTGACTGCAACAATCAAGCTCTACTGCAGGGGTAAAAAAATTAAGCAAACACGACTGTGGCAGGAGGGAAGGGATGACAATACTACTGGTATGAAGGCCCAAATAAGGTCTCCTCCCTGATACCCCCCCCCAAGAAATGCACACCAAATCACAGAAAGAGAACTGCTGCTAAAAGGCCTTTTTGTTCAGTTTTTAATAGGGTGTGAATCTTAAGGAGGCTTGCTTGAAACTAAAGGTCGGAAAAATAGTAATATCTTTATTTTTCTCTCAATTGCCTCTTAAGAGGGAGGGAGGTGCTGAGGCATGACATCGCCCATTGAGAATGAGACCACAAATCGTGTACTTCTGTTCAAAAGCACAATTTCTTAACCAAAGGACTGATAGTAATTAGATCCAAACCCAACCTCACAGGAAAATTTCTGTTCTCCTCCCAAGGAGTTTCTTGCTAAGTCACTGAAGAAAGCAGAATAACAAATAAAGCCAGGCACCTTGCTCTCGCCCATCTCAGGGGATAAAAACCCTTCTCTTGGCTGTGCTTATAGAGGGAGTCAAAATATGCCCACCACCTCCAAGGCATTTTCTCACCTGGGAGGCTAGAAAGGGTAAACAGATAACAAGCACTGCGTTTCCTACAGGATAGACAGATGAGACGGGATGAAGGAACTGGCACAGGGCCTCGGAGCTCAGCGTTCGCAACGTCAAAGGGCAACTCCCGAGCCGGGAGCTGGTGGCAGCAGGAAAACCCTGCCTGGTTGGGGGGGGTGGGGGGGGTGGATGCTGCAGACCCAGCATCCCATCAGTGAGGTCGGGCCGCTAGTCCTCACGGCTGCAGAGGCTGGACCACCGCACCGGGGATTCTGGGAGGCGGCGGCCCATCCTCCGCAGGTCAGCCCCAGCGAAGGACAGGTGGGGGACGGCAGGCCGGGTGCTGTCGAATGCCGGTGGAGACCCGCCAGGGTGGAGGGGTGGAGACTGCGGAGCTGGCTTCCGCGGCCCACAAGGGCCGAACCCTTTCCCCAAGATCACAGAGAGACCTGCTCCCCACGCCCTTCCCACCCGAGAATACTTTTCTTGCTAAGTCACGGCTGCAGGAGGGCGATGCCGGCGCAGAGGCCGCGGGTGGAGCCCCGAGCCGCGGCCGCAGGACGCCGGCGAGGGCAGCGCCCTCCCCGGTCAGGCCCCCCTCCTCGGTGCCTCTCACTCAACGGCCGTCGCGGCCGCCATTTTGAGAGCGAGGAGAGAAGAAGAAGGAGGCGGCGGCGGCAGGGGGAGGGGAGGATGGGAGGGAGGGGACCCGCGCCGCCACATCGTCAGGCCGCCGGGCCCGGCCCGCGGCCTCCCGTGCGCGGTGGAGGGACAGAGGGGACGGCGCACACCCTCGCCGCCTTACCGGAGCGCTGCACCGCCGCCTTCGCAGGGCCGCTTCCGTCCTTCACTCCCATCCACCGGCGGGGGAGGGGAAGGGACAGGGGAGGGAGGAAGGAGGGAGGGAGGGAAGGAGGGAGGGGAAGGATGGCGCGCTGGGCCCGGGCCCGGGGAGGGGGAGGGGAGGGCCGCGGCCGGGCTGCTCGGCCGTTCCGGTGCTCGAGCGCTCGCCCGGCGCTCGCAGGTCCTGTGGCTCGCGCCCGAGCGCTCCCCTCCTGCTCCTCGCCGCTCCTGAGACCTTCCGCTCTCGTCCGCTCGCTCACTTGCTCTCTCGGCCGCCGGACTCCGCCGCCGCCCCGCCGCTCCAGCTCGGTCTGTCACAGGAGCTGCTCCAACGCCCTGACGTCACCGCGCCGCCGCCACCGCCGCCGCCGCCGCCGCCCCAGACCCGCCAGGAAGAGGGCGGGGAGCCGAAAGGGCCTCCGGCACATGCGCGGACTGCCGGGATGCTCTGCCTTCCGCCCGGCGGGTGGCTGGGTAGCTGCCGGTGCTGCGCGGCGGTTCCCAGGGGTAGGCGGCCGATTGTGCGCACGAAGCGCTGCCTTGGACACGCTTCTCGCCGCCGTACCCTTGGGAAGATAAGACTGTCGTTTACCCCAGACCCGCGTCTGGTTTCGGGCCCCCACGCATTCTGGGTCTGCTCACCTCCTAGCCTGCTGTGGTCCTCACGCTGCGCAGACCCTGGCGGACGGCGGGTCCCGCGGGCACCAACAGCTCTATCTACCCTCGCAGGTTGGAGCGGAGCCGGGCCTGGCCGTCGCCCCTCTGCCTCCAGCCTGCGAGATTATGACCAAAAAAAAAAAAAAAAAAAAAGAGGATGAGAGTAGGCTGGGCGGCTTGGGCGGAGGGGCTGTTGAGGTTAAAAGGCAGGTGGAATGCCTTGTCTTCCTGGGTGTTACAGATTTTTAATTGGAAGGACTCGCCTGTAGATGTGATTCAGCTATTTTCCTTAGTCACACGCACACATTTGAGACTCTGGAAACTGACGTCCACAGAAAGAACTGGAACTTTTATCTCTACCGCGAGCGTGCGTGCCTGTGTGTGTGTGTGTGTGTGTGTGTGTGTGTGTGTGTTAAATTATAGATTGAAATATTGATGTCTGGGGGATTTGTAACCAATTTATTTCACACAAAATTCTTGATTTTTAAAAGGCCAAGTTTGGCGTTCTAAATAATTCAATATAGGATATTATTTTAATAAGAGGTATTGAATGAGATCATTTCATCATTCTTTTTTTCCAAGGAAAATCTTCCTAAAATATGGTCTCACGCTTAACTGATGTTATTATTTCTCTTTCTGAAGGAAAATATGTTGTACACTGCGCTTAGGAAACTGCAGAGTTAAGGTCTCTGGTGTGAATTCTGGTGCCATGGCTGGCTTAGAATGTGACCTTGAGTAAATTACCATACTTCTTTCTGGCCTCAGTTTCGGTATAAATAGACCTAATAGCCAGGCAGGGTGGCATATAGGCCCAGCTACATGGGAGGCAGGGAATCACTGGAACACAGGAGTTCTCATCCAATCTGGGGAACATAACAAACCCTGTTTCTTTAAATATAATAATACTAATAGTAATAAACAGGATTGTACTGAATATATTAGAATAGGGAATTCTTAATTCCCTATTCTAATATATTCAGTACAAGGATGTAGTGGTACATCTGTAATCCCAACAGTCAGGAGGCAGAAGCCAGAGGATTGCCACAGATTCAAGGCTAACATGGTCTACATAGGAAGTTCTAGGCCAGCCAGGGCTACATAGACCATCTTAAGTAAGTAATGGGCATAGTGGCACATGCCTTTAGTCCCAGCACTCACAAGGCAGAAACAGGCAGATCTCCATGAGTTAGAAGCCAACCTGGTCTACATGATGAGTTCCATGCCAGCCAGGGCTACACAGTAACTGTTTCAAACAAATAATAATAATTAAGTAAGTAAGCAAGCAATCCCAGGACAGTGGCATATACCTGTAATTCCAGCCCTGGGAAGGCTGAAGAACAAGAATCTCAAATTCAGAGCCTACCTAGACAACTCAGAATTTTAAAATTTTTAAAAGGATGAGGGCAAAGCCAGGTGTGGTGTCACATGCCTTAAATCTCAGCATTCAGGAGTCAGAGGCAGGGGGATCTCTGTGAGATCAAGGTCAGCCTGGTCTACAGGGAAACCCTATGTTAAAAAAAGGGGGGGGCGGTGAGGACATAGGTCAGTGGTAGAGAAATTGCTGAAAGAAAAAAGGAAAAAGAATAGAGAATTAGATGTTCCATGTACAATGCATCACTCTATACTGGGGACTCATAGGTAACTCATGTAACCACTACAATATCTAAAACTGAAGCCAGCTTCTTTTTATTAGGACAGGTCTTTATCCCTGAAGTGTTGCAAAAGAACATGAGCCAGTAGTCTGAAGGGATTGGGTTTCATCAACACAAGGAATGCAATCAAATGATCTTTAGAAGGTCATGTCCAAGGGGCTGGAAAGATGGATCAGTGGTTAAGGCTAGCTCTTGCAGAGGACCCAGGTTCAGTGCCCAGCACCCAAGGTGGCAGACAACTGTCCCTATCTCCAGTTGCAGGGAATCTGATGCCTCTTCCAGCCTCTGCAGGGATTGAATGCACATGGTGCATTTACATACGTGCAGGCAAAACACTCATACACATAAAATAAAAATAAATAAAATATTTGTTTTTTAAAGAAAGGTCATGTTGAGGATTAAAGTTCTGGGATTATTTAGTCAGAAATACAGACAAGATGAGGTCCAGAGGTTTGATCTATACTGTTACCTACATCCAATAACAGTCAGTAAACCTGCAATAAATTTGAGCATCCCTGGTCCTAAGAATCCATCCTCCTTTCATAGCTTTTAAAATATTTAGTATTGCCTGATATCATGCTTAATATTTAATCAGTCAACTGAGTAAATTAGGCTTTTTGCCTTTTTTAATGAATGCTGTAAAAGTCAACAAAATTGCTTAGAAATTAGAGCACATTTTTAAACAACAACTTAATCCAAATAGTTAGCTCTCACTCCCGTAAGCCTTGAGCTCCAGGTTTTTATATTCAGAAAAATATGAAATCTATATTATGTAATTACTAAAATCAGATTTTATTTTTAATGCAATCCTTTAGAAAACAATAACTCCTCTGGGGGAAGATATAAAAGCTTTCCTGAGATTATAGTTTTTTTGAACAGAAATTATCTTATGTTGTTGTGAAGTAATATGTTCTGGCTCTGTGCACTTTGCTTTCAGTTAGTCGATAACACTGTATATCCATTTTAATAAACACCTACTAAAAATGGAGAATTAGAATCTGTCCCATCAATCAATTCATGAGGATTTATATAAAATCTATAGCCACCCAAGGAATATTTAATAGTGCATTTTTGAATAATGCTTCTTGGAAACAAATATAAACTTCTATTTTCCTTAGTGCAATCCAACAATCTCCCCATTCATTTGAATTGCAAATCTTTATTTTTCTAGCGGACATTTATTAAATGGAAACATTTGTTTCAATTGCTGCAGGAAAATTAGTGTTAAAAAGTTCTGAAAATAAGCTGAGTGGAAGAAACACTCCAAAAATATTGCTATTGAGGAGAGAACAAAACGTCTTTTTAAAGTATCTCCAGAGCAAAAATCTGTTTACAATGAGTACAAATATTAAAACTTTATTTTGAGGGACTGGAGAGATGACTCGGTCAGGAAAGTACTTACTACTAAAAGTCGACAAGTTGACATCAACACAGAAGTGCAAGCACATCCACACATATGAGCATGTATCCTTCATCTTAAAAAAGCAAACTTTATTTCAAGAAGTAACTGGTAACTGTCCTCTGCAGTTCATAGGAAATTCCCAGTGTTGTATGTGAAAATCATATGGAAAATAATTAGCAAATGGTAAGAAGGAAGCTTTGCGGCAGGCCAGTTAGCTAAATTAAAGTTCCATTTAGAAGAGAGCCACCCAATTGACAAAGGACTGACTAGGAGATTTTAGCTGACCAACTTGTGTCCTCACATTTCCAGAAAGCATAGATATGTCAAAGAGGCAGAGCCAACCAGACCAGTTGGATCTTCTCAGCACCATGACGTTTTCATGTGTCACATACACTGGGAGGACACAGAGACAAAGGCAATTAACAGAGGCAAACTCCTCAGCCTGAACACAGGAGTATCTAAAAGGAACACATAATCCAAAACATATATATATGTACATGTATATATACACATATATATATGAATAAATTTGGGGCTGGTAGGATTACTAATAAGTGGGTAAAAGCACTTGCTTCACAAATCTAAAGATTTGAATTGGATCCCCAGAGTCTATGGTGAAGGAGCAAACTGACTCCCCAAGTTGTCTTCTGACCTCCACATTCATGCTGTGGCATGCCTATACCCCCTGCCCAGTAATAATAAATTTAAAATTTAAAAATATTTTTATTTTATGTGTATGAGTGTATTACCTGCATGTGTGGAATTGCACCTGTGATATGCAATGCCTGTGGTGGTCAGAAGAAGATGTCATATTCCCCTGGACCTGGAGTTACAGATGATTGTTAGCCGCCATGTAGGTGCTGGAAATTGAACTGGAGTACTCTGCAAGAGCAGAGTACCGCTGAGCCATTTCTCCAGCCCAGATTTTAAAGTACTAATACAAAGAAACAATACAAAAGGATGTATCGTTCATTTAGCATGCCACCACATAGGCCAAGCAAAGGATAAAACAAGCTTTCCCTTTATACTTGTTAGTGTGCATCTAGTGAAAGAAAGGATTAATCTAGAAGAGGAGGGGAGTGGGAGGGAAAGGAAGAAAAAGACAACATGGAGAAATGGAACAAGCAATACAGGTAATCCCATAAGACAGAACTAGCCTGGAATATTAAGAACTGCTCACAATTTTCTCATAGCTACATTTAAAAATTAATATAGCTGAGCATAAGCCTCTAGTCCCAACTACATCTCCAGTCTACCTCTTCCCCAGTAAATTTTCGATCTGTAAAATTTGACTCAGAAAAAATTCGTATGGTCAAAATCATGACCACAGAGAATACTGACAGTAATAGAAAACATAAAAATCAAAGAAACAACAACAAAAAAACCCTTGATAGATAAACTTTCTTTATAGCAAGGCTTAGTAACCCCTGCCTTTATCCCAGCACACAGTAAGACCCTGTCACAAAAAAAAACTTTTTTTTTTTTTTTGGAGTTGGTAGAGTGCTTGTCTAGCATATTCAAAGCCCTGGATTCAATTTCCCTGCACCACAAACCAAGAATGGTAACTCAGGCCTGTAATCTCAGTGGAGGCAGGAGGATCAGAAGTTCAAGGTCACCCTCAGCTACAGCCA